ATTCAGCTACAGATAGACAACATTAACATCAGTAATAAAAATGATGGCAAGTTTCTTGGCATATTCCTAGACAAGAGACTCAACTTCAGCACCCACATTCAACACATAACTAAGAAAGTCTCTAAGACAGTTGGTATACTCTCCAAAATCAGATATTATGTTCCTAACTCTGCTCTCCTCTCACTATATTATGCACTAATCTACCCCTATCTTAATTATGGTATCTGTGCATGGGGGTCTACCACTGCAAACCACCTTAAGCCCATCATCACACAGCAAAAATCTGCTATCAGAATAATAACTAACTCTGCTTTCAGACAACACTCAGCTCCCTTGTTTAAATCCCTAAACTTGCTAAATATTAACTCCCTCCACACATTCTCTTGTGTCAACTACATTTACAAAACCCTGTTCTTAAATGCAAACCATGCTCTGAAACTCTCCCTGGACAGATGTAATAGGACCCATTATCACCACACCAGAAATAAATATCTCTTTGATATCCCCAGGGTCAAACTTAATCTGTGTAAACACTCTATGCAAATTAAGGGACCTAGTCTATGGAACTCACTCCCTAGTGAATTGAAAAACTGTAAAACTTTTGCCTTATTTAAAAGCAAAACCAAAAAGTACCTATCTTCATCTATTTAGTTTCCTACACTGAGCTTTAAATTTGCTCTGTACCTAGTGTTACCCAATCTCCTAATTTTTATGTAATATCAAACAACCTTATCATTGTGTTCATTGCTGTCTTCTTTTATGTGCTAGCCATATGCTGTATTGTGACTACCAATTTTTGTCAACTACCATTCAAGCTGTCATTGCAATCAATCTTATATTGTTTCTGCTGTATTGTGCCTACCAATTTGTTGTCAACTACCATTTTAAGCTGTCATTGCAATCAATCATAGTTACCTATGTGCTTTAATATACTGTACCTATAATTTTCTCTCATCTTTTTTTTTTCATTCCATGTAATCTGTTATCATTTTTTGTCTATAAATTTTGCAAGTATTTACCTCCTTAAAATTTTCTTAGATTAAGGACCTGCCCGAAACGCTGCGCGTGCTAGTGGCTTTACAAGACTGTAATTACCATATTTGTATCCTCACATTCCTTATGTACATTCTTGTATATGCATAAATAAAATAAATAAATAAATAAATAAATTAGACGAGCCAAAACTAAATACTACGAAGATAAATTTACCCAAATAAAGAGCAACATTAAACAAACTTGGAGAACAATTTCTCAAATATTGGGATCAAAGAAGTCTTTAAATAACAAACCGACTCTCCTGTCTAATAACGATGGTCAGCTTTCAGCCTCTCATTCTGCTATTGAGTTCAATAGATTCTTCTCTTCCATTCGTTCATCCCTTGCAAATGATATTCCATCTTCCAGTACAGACATTAAGGACTATCTTACAGGTAACTATCCACAGTCTCTGTACCTAAAGCCTATTAATTCCACTGACGTCAATGAGATAATCCTTTCCCTTAAAACCAAGTCTGGTGCCCTTGAGGAGATACCAACTTCAATTTACAAAAAAGCCTCCAGATCTTTAGCCCCTGCTATTGCTTTGCTCATCAACAAGTCACTTGAACTCCAAACCTTCCCAGATATTCTAAAAAAAGCTAGAGTAACGCCTGTCCACAAATGTGGTGATCTCACAGATGTTAACAACTACAGACCTATATCTATCCTGCCAAACTTGTCAAAAAATTTTGAAAAACTAATCTATAAGCAGCTTTACTCATATCTAGCCAAACTCAATATACTTAGCCCTTGCCAATATGGCTTCAGACCCAAAAAAAGCACTAACGATGCACTTATTAGTATGCTTAACTCGATTCATACAGCTCTTGATAAAAATGAGTTCCCTGTTGGGTTGTTTGTGGACCTGCGTAAAGCCTTTGATACTCAACCACCAAAACCTTCTTAAATTACATCATTATGGAGTCAGAGGACACTCCCTACAATACCTCAAATCCTACCTTACTGACAGGCTCCAATATGTTTCTGTGAATAATACAATTTCTCCCACCCTACCCATCAACATTGGTGTTCCCCAGGGCAGCATACTTGGCCCTCTCCTCTTTCTCATATACATTAATGACCTTCCAAATGCCTCCCAACATCTCAAACCAATTCTATTTGCTGACGACACAACCTTCATTTACTCCAGTCCTGATCCCCTTGCTCTAAATGCCACAGTAAATACTGAGCTAAATAAAGTCCATCTGAGGCTAACTGCCAACAAACTCACCCTTAACATTGACAAAACCTTCTATATTCTGTTTGGCAATAAATCCTCTAATCAAATAAATCTCAAAATAAACAATACCCAAATTTGTAACAAATTAGATGGCAAATTCCTTGGCATTCTCATTGACCACAAGCTGAATTTCCAGGGACACATTCTAACATATCAAAAAAAGTTTCAAAAACTGTGGGCATTCTTTCTAAGATCAGATATTATGTACCACGCCCTGCCCTGGTGACTCTCTATTACTCCCTTATCTATCCTTATCTCAACTATGGTATTTGTGCTTGGGGCTCTACTACCCAAAATCACTTACATCCTCTAATTACTCAACACAAAGCTGCTATTAGGACAATATCCAATTCTGGCCCCAGACATCACTCGGTACCCCTACTCAAATCTCTGAATATGTTAGACATTAAGTCACTGCACATTCTCTCATGTGTATTATACATATATAAAACGCTAAACTATAATGCCAATCCTGATCTCAAAAGCTTCATAGAAGGTTGTAACAGAACCCATGAGCACCACACCAGAAATAAATACAGTTTTGATATTCCTAGAGTACGACTTAATCAAACTAGAAATGCTCTACAAATCAAGGGGCCCAGAATGTGGAATGACCTTCCCAACCATGTTAAAGACTGTACCTCTCTCAACCAGTTTAAGTTAAAAGCGAAGCTATACCTAATAAATTCCCTGTAACCTACCTTACCCTTCTATTGTCAACCAATGTCTGTTTTTTCTTTAAAGAGCGCTGTTTGTCGACATAATTGTATTTGTGCTGCTTTTTCATCTATGTTTTCATTTCTTGTTTTCATTCTACTCATTATGCTCAATTAGTATTAAGCTTGTCATTTAAGTTTATCATGCCCGAAACGCTTCGCGTAATAGTGGCTTTAGGCATTGTATGTACTAGCTCTACCTATAAGTCAACCATTCCTTGTAAAAATTTATTGTATGTATGTACCTTACCTAAATAAAATTGTATTGTATTGTAACTTCAGGATCGCCCGACGTGCTGTTACCAACTCGACTCCATATATGTCCATCACAGGGACAGAAAGCAAATCACACACTAGCGCTATCTCTGGGTACCCAGCCCGTACAGAAAATTCGAGGCCCACAGAGAGCTGGCACTACTGGGGGAAGAGGGACCCCCATCGTGAACTCCACATCAGCACAGGCAGGTAGAGACACACACGCCCCCAACTGGCCAAACTGGCAAACAATCACCAATTGCCGGAGAATCCAGGCAACACGTCTACACCCCACCAGAGCTCGGGCGCAACTCCATTTGTGAACATAGCCAAATTTCCCTTGCGTATGGACTTAAGTCAAGTTCCTGGTCAGGGAGCTTTGAGAGAAAATTCTGTCACATTACCAGACATTGTAACTAACGTTTGGAAGACCTGCAATTGACTTTGCTTTTTTCAAGTTGTTGTGGACTTGCACTTTCGAAAAGTAATTGACTTTGCCACTTTTCCAGCCATTGTGGGCTCTACCGAATTTATGAAGTCTAGACTGTCATTTGTTGGTCCAGTTGGGTTTTCTGAAGGCAAGTTTAGACTAACATTTGTCAGTCCCGTGGGGACTTAGTTTTCTACAAGCAGTTGGGGACTTTTACCCCACTCTGGTGCTGCATGTCAATACCCACCATGTTCATGACTTTATAACCTGTCTACAGTTCTAGTGTACCACTGTTGTTAGATGATTGTGACCTAGCGACAGTTAGCTGCTAGACATGTGCTGTTGTTAGTTTAAGTAATAGTTATGGATATGTGTTGTATATAGAGCGGTGTCATGGATATAATTTCGCCCTAGTAAACTGGTTGATTTTTTCTGGACTTTTCCTATCCCTAGACATAACTTTCGGAGGACAGGTGGATTGTTGTTAAGTTCTGGAAGGTTCTATGTTACCAGTGATGCTGTGGGACGCCATGATACGACAATGTAATAGAGTAGAAGGAATATTTTCCAATATTATGGCACGGTTTATAATGGGGAAGTATGTTTTTACAGAGACACGACCGGAGCCCAGTATATAATGAGGTGGAAGATGCCGTCGGAAGAGTATGAGAACCGGTTTGATAAATTACTTGGTTTTCAGTTACTGTATATGGAAAAAGACATCAAGGGGGTTGGATCATTTACTGTTATGTCTATGGGTGTCAGCTATCTATGAACATAGTTACCATCTGTTCCATTTCTCCTACCACCCATTACTCTCACTATAAATATATACATTTTTAGTCATCCTCCAACTATTCAGAATTTTCCATTCCCTCACAAAAGGGAAGGAATGGAAACTCACTTCCATTCCTTACACCATTATTACCATACCTAACATAATTGTTTTAATGAACTTTTGACATAAAAGATAAATACTGTGTACCCAGTTTTGTGCATACTTTCCTATGTACTTAGTAAACAGTATTTATCTAGCTGGTACCCAGTTTTAAGGGTACTGACCTGCTACGACAGGTTCACAACCCTGTTATCACAACCCTGTTATCTCTCTTGTTGGGCAACCCTTTGTCCAACAAGGGGTTGGACCTTTTATTGTTATGTCTATGGGAGTCAGCTATCCATGAACACTGTCAGTAGACAGTTCCACTTCTCCCACCACCCATTAATCTCACTAACAATATATATCTATTTAGTCATCCTACACCAAATATTATCATACCTAACAATTGTTTTTAACATAAAATTAGCAAATTAAACTCACAGCAACTTCAACAAGAAAACTGCTGCAGCATCATCCATTGGTGATATTTCTTCTTCCCAAAGCTTATCCAGCTCATCAATTACTGAGTCCAGAGTTGGTTCTGTCTTTTCCTAAAAGTAAATAAGAGTAAATATACAGCATATTAAGCATGTTTAATTTACTCAATTTGTTTTAATTTCGATACATGGAAATATTACTATTGCTGAATGTTGATGCAGAGACTAAAATCCTTCCTGTTACAGTTGTTAAATAAAATGTATCCTACCAGTGAATTGTAACAAACTTTACAACGGACTTCATCTTACGTTTTACTTTCCTGAGTGACACAAAATAAAAATGAATAAATGAACATAAGAATTAAGGAACTCTGCATCAACCTTGTGGCCCATACTAGACGGTCCATTTACTACTACGCCACTCAACATATTACTTATCCAATTTAACTTCAAAAATTTAAATTCGAATGTTTATTCAGGTATAAGTACATACATTGATGAATTACAAACATAATGTTGGATTTATAGATAAAAGCAGGTACATACAATATCTAAAACCACTAATACACACAGCGTTTCGGGCAAGGTGTGGGAGAAAAACACAGACTAAAACTTAATACTAATTGAGATTAAAGTATAAATTGTGTTGAAAAAGGAAAAAAAAGGGGAGTTTGAACATGGCAGAAATCAGCAATTATAAAAGTTGGTTAACAACAGTATTGTTTGAAAATATCAAGACATGGGTTGACATTTAAGGGGTAAGGTAGGTTACATGGAGTTTATTAGGTAGTGGTTAGTTTTTCTCTTAAATTGGTTGAGAGGGGTACAGCCTTTGACATGATTGGGAAGGTCATTTCATTCTGGGGCCCTTGATTTGTAGAGCTTTTCTAACTGTTGACTCCTGTTAAATTATATTCATCCACAACCTCTTCCTCAATGGGCACTCCTCTATACTAAACAGTACTTATCTAGCTTATATCTAGTTTTGTGGGTACTTTCTTATATACTTTGTAAACAGCATTTATCTAACTTGTATCCAGTTTTGAGGGTATTTTCCTATATACTTGGTAAACAGTATTTATCTAGCTTGTACTCAGTTTTGTGGGTACTGACCTGCTACGACAGTTTTACAACCCTGTTATTATCCCCCCCCCCCTTGTTCTTCACGTGAAAGCCGTCCTCAGGGACTGACGACTCCCAGATACATATTCAATAAATAATGATAAGTGCTTGGAGGGAGATGGCAAAGCATGTCATAACGAATGTCAACTGAGCCCACTGCAGTAAAACCGCAAAGGGCCTGGGAAGACTGGATTTCTGAGAGAAGGGATCGTTATTGGGAGTGGGAGATGTGTGCGAAAATCTAAGGGACAAGATTCATGAAGAGGCTTACGTGTAAGGAAAGGTGGAGGAATATGAGGCCTAACAGTCAAAAAGTAGGAACCCAGTTTGGTCACGACAGACACTGGATCCACCAAAATAGAGACACAGAGGTGAAAGGCCGGTGAGACATCTGGAACAAATTTAACTGCTATCTTACGGGTTTTCTTTCAGAT